CTGCTCCCGGGGCCCTCTCTGCTCCCGGGGCTCTCTCTGCTCCCCTGCTCCCGGGTGGGAGTTGTTGGTTCTGCCGCAGTCGCTGTTGCCTCGGCGCGGGTTCAGAACGGGTTCCTTGGCTTTTTTTTATAGCCTTGGGTAACCACCAACTCCTCACCTGAATGATGTCCCTCGGGGTTAATTATCCACGCTGGCAGCCAAAATACAAGCCAGGGGAGGCTGTCGGCGAGGGAAATTTCACACCCAGGTGTCACGTCCTCGCTCCTTTCTCTTGCAGCCCTGTTACCTCCGCGACTGGGAGATGCAGGTGCACTTTAAAATCCACGGGCAAGGCAAGAAAAACCTGAACGGCGACGGCTTCGCCATCTGGTACACCAAGGAGCGCATGCAGCCAGGTGAAACGCCCACGGGAGGTGCCACGTGCCAGCTTCTGGAGGACGTGTGCTGTCCCCTGCCTTGTCCCCCCGGGCTGGGGGCTCGGTGGGGGAAGCTGCAGTGGGGAATTGTGGTGGTTTGGGGCTTTGGGGGTGGTTTGTTTTCGCTTTGGAGGGTGGAGAGGGGGTAACGCAGCCACGTGTGGGGCTGCCTCTGAGCCTCAGCGCCGTGGGGTGGGGGTTTAGGGGAGGGTGTGAGCTCAGTCTCAGGGTTTGGAAGAGGTGATGGGGCTCCTGGATGATCCCTCCTTGCTGATCCCCTGTCACAGTGTCTGACCCTGCCTCGGCATCATTAACAACCCCTTGCATGCCCTGACCCTGTACACCCTCTCAGCTCAACTTGCACCTGGGTTTTGATGCAAAATGATTGGATTTGAGGGTAAATCTGCCCCCGTGTAGTCTGGAAAGCGCACACCTCATCGCCTGCTACAGAAAACAACACGAAGGGATGGGAAATGAACCCTCTGCGACATCTACTGGGCCTTATTCACAGCCTTTCCCTCCTTGTAGGCCCAGTTTTCGGAAGCAAGGATAACTTCCTGGGGCTGGGGGTGTTTGTGGACACGTACCCCAACGAGGAGAAGCAGCAGGAGGTGAGCTGGGATGGGTCCACGGGGCCGTGCTGCTCGGGCAGCACCAAGGTTGTGCCTCCTGGTCGGCGCCGTGCGGTCTTTGAGCTCTTAAATCATGGATGTTACTCCTTGTTTCCTCTCCTCTGCTCTGCATCGTTGGGTTTTTTTTAGTGAGGCAGTGACCCTTTGGAGATAGGAAAAGCTCTGGGGTGGTTTTGGGCTCAGCTTTACCCGGAGATAAAGCTTTTGAAGCAGGAGAAAACGAGCTGGGAGGAGAAAAGCACCTCTGTGCTGCGAGCTCCCGGGCTTTCTGCAGCAGTGGCTGAGGGGAAGCTGTAGCGGGGGCTTTGTGAAGCGTGGTACCCAAAACGGGGGCTGTTTCCTGGCAGCTCGGTGGCAGGAGGTCTCCCTGCTCTGGATGCGGCGTGACTGCGCTCTGCCCCCTTGAAATGTCCCCGTCTTGATGACCTTTGTGTTCCTGCTGCGTCTTTTGGGGGTTTATTGGTGTGTGCTCCAGTGGAGGAGGGAGCACAGAGGGCAGTTAAACCCAGGCCGTTTCCCACCCTGCTGCTGGAATCATCCTTATCGCTCCAAAACCACTGCTTTTTTTACCTTTTCTTAAATCCAGTTTGCCCTAAAAAATAGGCGGGTTTACCCCAAAACTTTGGTGCTAACCCAGGGAGAGGGACACAGGGAGCTGCTGAGCAAACGTTGAGTAACTCAGGCTTCAGTTCAAACATCCGAAACGGCGCAGGGGTGGACTTTGTGCCCGTGAAATCCTTTCTGAGCCGCGTTACCGGCAGCATTTGGGGATTAGTGTGGTGCTGGATGGATCCTGTTGATCTGCAGTGTGGCAGCGCTGCTTTTTTGGGGTAAAAGGACTCACCATGGGGCTTATTTAATAGAAATCATCTGTGGGAGGTGAGTGTTTGGCTTCCCAGTCGATGCTGGCTGTTGTACGAGCGAGTTGTGGCAGGGTGAGGAGGAGAAATGTGATGTTTGATGTGGTTTTTACCGGTGCCGTGTCCTGGGATTCGGCCCCTGAACCCCTCTCAGCTTTAGTCCCACACCGAGCTCTCGGGGAGGAGGTTTCCCGGTTGCAGGTTAACGCTGAGCCTTGGTCCGTGACCGTTTTGCTTCTGTGCTCTCTCTTGCTTTGTGCTAACGCTGGACTTGGCAGGCTCAGAAGAGGAGGTACAGCCCGGGAAACCAGGTACTCGCTCTGCTGCCCTGCCTGCTCCCGAGCTTCGGTGGAGGAATTCCCTCCTCCGAGCCCAGAAACGCCTCTGGGGGCTCCAGAAACCCATCCATGAGCCCAGAAATCCCTGTGGAGGCTCCAGAAATCCCTGTGGAAGCTCCAGAAATCCCTCTGTGGGCTTCAGAAATCCATCCACGAGCTCAGAAATCCCTCTGTGGGCTCCGGAAATCTGTCCACGAGGCCAGAAATCCCTCTGGGGGCTCTAGAAATCCCTCCACGAGGCCAGAAATCCCTCTGGGGGCTCTAGAAATCCCTCCACGAGGCCAGAAATCCCTCTGGGGGCTCTAGAAATCCCTCCACGAGGCCAGAAATCCCTCTGGGGGCTCTAGAAATCCCTCCACGAGGCCAGAAATCCCTCTGGGGGCTCTAGAAATCCCTCCACGAGGCCAGAAATCCCTCTGGGGGCTCTAGAAATCCCTCCACGAGGCCAGAAATCCCTCTGGGGGCTCCAGAAATCCGTCCACGAGGCCAGAAATCCCTCTGGGGCGGAAATCCCTCCGGGGGCTCCAGGAATCCCTCTGGGGGCTCCAGAAATCCCTCTGGGGGCTCCAGAAATCCCTCTGGGGGCTCCAGAAATCCATCCACGAGCCCAGAAATCCATCCACGAGCCCAGAAATCCCTCTGTGATCTGGGAAACTGCATGGGAATTCGCTTTTCCTCCATCCTGGCTGCCTGGGAGCTGAGTTCTGAGCCTGAGGAAGGCTGTGGGGTGGAGCGGGATCGTGCCATTGAGGTGGATTTTGGGGGAGTTAAGGAGTTTGGGGTGCACAGGGCTCACCTCCCCGGTGTTTTTTTCGCCCCTCGCAGCGCGTCTTCCCCTACATCTCGGCCATGGTGAACAACGGCTCCCTCACCTACGACCACGACCGCGACGGGAGACCCACGGAGCTGGGGGGTTGCACGGCCATGGTGCGCAACCTCAACCACGACACCTTCCTGGTGATCCGCTACGTCAAGAGGAGGCTGACGGTGAGCAAAGGGCAAAGCGGGCGACGGAGCCACGACACGGGGGTGGGGGCTGAAGGAGCCTCTTCTCTCTCAGGTATTGATCGACATCGACGGCAAACACGAGTGGAGAGACTGCATCGACGTCCCGGGCGTGCGCCTGCCCCGCGGGTACTACTTTGGGACCTCTTCTGTCACCGGGGACCTGTCAGGTACCGCCACAAGGACCCCAGCCCCGTTTCCCAAGCGCCTCCGGCAGCGATTTGGGTGTCTGGAGGTGCAGCTCGGGGCTTCCAGAAGCACACGAGGACCTTTCCATGCTCAAAGCGTCCTTGAGGTGTGAGCGGGAGCCTTGGTTTTTATCTTGCGGCGCCTCCTGAGGAGCCAAAAGCTCGGTCTGGGCGCTTTGTGTCCCTCTTTTGACTGTACCATCTCCAGAGGAGTAAAAGCAGGTTGAGCGCTAAAAAATACCCATATTCTCCTGCCACAACCCATGCCTTTGAATTTCATAGCCCCAGAGCTGTTGCCTGCCTGTTATTGAGGCAGAAACCAGCGCCTGGAAGCGGTGCTGCAACGCGGGCAGATACAAACCAGGTTTTGCAGAGCACTAAAGCTCAACCCCTCCACCTTCCTCAGTGCAATATTCCTCCCTTAGCACTGCCGTGAGCTCTGACTCTGCTTTTTGGGGCATTTTTGAAGCCCAATTTGAGCTATGCCCTTACAGAAGTGCTGGGCTCATTGGTGGCTACAACAGAAGCTCCTTCCCCCTGCCAATAACTCCCACCAACATCTTCCCCTTGCACCCCAGATATTAACGCCCCGCAGCATTTGTTGGCGATGCCTCGGGACACGTTTCCCCTCTGTTTGCAGACAACCACGACATCATTTCGCTGAAGCTTTACCAGCTGACGGTGGAGCGGACGCCGGAGGAGGAGAAGCGGGACAAGGAGGTGTATCTGCCCGTCGTGGACAACCTGAAGCTGCCAGGGAGTGAGTAGGAAGCCATGGGGATGTGGGGTGACCCATGGCAGAGCTGAAACCATGGATGTCACCAGCAAACAGCTGAGATCAGCCAAAATC